CGTCCTCAACACCCTGCACGTCGGAGGTGAGCCGCGGCCGCGCGGGCTGGGCCCGAGGGACTGCCGGGGCCCCGCCGTGCTGCTGTGGGTGCGACAGACACGGCTCGGGGGGCACAGCTCAGCTCCCAGCAGCTCTAAATAAGAAACCAGCACCAGCAGTTCTTTGTTGAAAGCCTCGTTAGTTTTGCTTGAGTCTTCATTACAGTTATCACAAATCAGCACAGCAAATACAATATTACATGATTTCAAAATATATTTTCCAAGTAGAGTATTTTCTGAATCCTGGAAATTAACCCCCTGGGGCAACTAACAGGCACTGGACGTTAGTAATTATTTCAGCACTTCACTATGAAGTCTACAGCTCCTTCTTAGCTCTTGCATTAGCTAAGTTGTTGCCTGGGCCATCTGTCACTTGAGACAATGCTCTTTGGAGAATACACTAGCAGCTCTGAAACAGTTGGTTGTGTAGATTGTTACATATTATTCTTGTGACTTCCACAGGTACCATAAGAACATGTCAGAAATTTCTGATTGAGTACAACAGAAGACAGCTGCTGATGTTGTTACAGAACTGTACAAATGAAGGTGAGTTTCCCCATCTACTTTTCTAAAATGCCTCAATTCCTGGCATTTTGTAGGAAATGTTTCTGAGCTCTTGGCCTGAGAAATGTTTCTTTCTTTAGAAGTGGAGGATGTTCCAGTGTATGTGAGGAGATCAAGTCATGACCCTCTGTTGCTTTCTTTATTGCAGAGGAAAGACAGAGTATACAGAAGTCCTTGCTGAGCTGTTCACTTACAGAAGAGCAGTCTCAGAGTGGAGAGGAGGAGGAGGAGGATTGCCGCGATGGAGAGACGGGACGCAGCTTGATGGAAGCAACATGTCCATTTATTGTTTTTCACAAATCCTTATAGTCCCTTTGCTTAGCATATTCCCTGCTGATTGACTTATTCTAAACATTAGGTGTGTACCAATTGTTGTTTTACCCCAGCAACATCCCAACTCGGCGCTTTCTGTTCAAGGGTCCCATCTCCACACCTACTCCTCCCAAGGCCTTCAGGCAACAAGTCCTAACACATCCCCTGACTAGCCCAGACATGGTGGAGCCTTGCTGAATGCAGCCAGGCCACTCCCCACAAATGATGGCACAGAGACAAGACTGAATGTCACTGGTTACTGTTCACCTCCATCCTGTCCTTGTGGAATCAAGATGTTCCTGCTTATCTTCAGTGTTATGCAGATGAGGGGTCAGGAGAAACACCTGTTCATATTGAAGACTTCATTCCCCATTCCAAGTGTTCTTAAATAAATTTTTTAGAAAATTAAACATGGTTTCACTGAAGTAGGTTATTTGCCTGTTTCACTCCAGGAACCAAAACCACCTGAACTCCTGAGTGCAGGAGCTCCATGTGGTCTTCATGTTGAGGTAGAACTGAGCTTTAAGCAGTTGGCATGGATAAGGAATGTAGTTATTCTTCTTCAGTATAGAAAAAAACATCAATATCTTACTGTTTTTTACTTTCAGTGCAGAGGGTATCCATTGTTTTGGGTCAGAAAAGCACCAGTTGTGTACACAGAGTACAGGGAATGCAAGGTAGAGCTGTAATGCTCAACTCCATCCCCCCCATTGTAAAACTCATAGGTACAAGTACTGCTTAGATATTTATTAAGTTTACACCAATCAGTTACAAGAAAGTAGCATTGCTGGTATTATCTCGAATCCATAGGAAAACAAGATACAGTTGAAGATTCTGTCCCTGTGGGCACTGCCCCTGCAGCAGGGACAGCCTGCCCTGCCCACACCACTTCCCTTGTCCTAGTGCCTGTGACATGTGGAGGTGAGTTACACCAGCTCCAGCTATCCTGTCTCTCTTCCCAATGCAAAGAAAAATTGACTACAAATGTGCAGAGATAATAGAACACAACAGATACTGGTTAGACACTAAGGAGTTACTCCTGTTCCACGGCTTAAAGCGACTTACAGTTAATGCAGTTAACTGCATACTTGAATCTCTCAGTTGCTTTCTCTGCCCTCACTAGTCATTTTCCAATATGCCTTTAAAGCACTGACAGCAGGATGTGTTACCACTTTCAGGCATCTTGTCTCAGTCTCTCTGCAGTCCCTGACAAGCTGTACTGTCTTTCCATCAAGTGTGGTTAGTTGTGACCAAGCATGAAGTCAAGCTGCTTTCAAAGAATATTTTGCAGGTGTTTCCTCTATCCTCCTGTAGCACTGAAGTATTCTTTACCTCCCCCCTCTCCCATTCTTTCTGGTTTTCAGCCACATGAGTTGTGTGACATGTACTCTTTGGTACCAGCTTCCCATGAGGCACAGATGCCTTGAGGAAGCTCTGGTGTAATGTGGAGTCTGTTGCTTTTGAGATCAAGCATCCATGGATTGACAGAAGCTTTTAAAACAGGGATGCAACCACTGACCATCAGTGGTGTTGGAATACCTCACTCCAGGAGGCTCCAACATGTGCTTGCTCATATCCCTCACAGTACCAGAGGGACAGATCACACTACAGCCTGTGCCAGTGCAGGTAGAGCACTGGGTGCAAGTGGGGCTGAAGACAAGAGACTGCCAGCCTCACACTCTTTAAGTGTGGTGGTACTTCATGTCAGCTCCCTGGAATTCATTCTGTCATCAGGAAAGTAAAATTTGAACCTGGGCAATTAATTTTTCCTGGGCTCCACACTGACAGGACAGTTTGGGTACAGCTGAGGAAGGTGCAGGACTGTAAGTGCATGTGCATATGATTTATTGCAACTGTTGGCCTTGACTGGTACATTACACCTACAGTTAATTTTATTCAACAAAACCCACACCACGTAACTCATTAGCTCAAATCAAACCACAAGCAGTGCAGAATGTGAGCACCCAAAGAAAGAGCAGGGCGGGGTCCAGAAGAGGCATGTCCACAGCACAGATCAACTTACATCCCAGAACCAAGCAGATACAGGCCCTTATCCCAGTCAAGAGAACCTCAGTTTCTTGTTGGGGTATAAAAGTTATCTACAGACTTCAGCTACCAGTTGTTCGTTCAGTTCAAGAGCAGCCAGTGTCAAAACATTGTTCAGGTGGTTACCAAGAGCCCTAGGGTGGAGTGTTTATTCTAGATGATTAGGTTACAAAGAATGTGTAGCCCATGGTTGGAAAAAAAACCAAAAAACCACCCCAAATTAGCAGCCTCACTCACCCACATTAAAACAGAGCTGAACAACTGAAAGAAGCCAGGAGGTTCCTTCTACCACTAGTGCCAGTTTGCATTTTGAAATACACAAAATCATCCAGTCACACCAAACCAAGTAGCCAAGTTCTGCTTTACACTCACCTCAGCTTTAAATCTTTCCAAGCCAGGAGAACAGGAGGAATTCTTGCTCTTTAGAAAAAGAACAGATATAGCAGCTAACACTCTAAAGCCAGTAAGCTCTTTTGCCTGTTTCTTCCATTGCAGCCAAAACCAGTTTCTCAAGAGAGCAGTTTGGCAGCTTTACTGAGACAGCACTACTGTCACAGTCAGATGGACTTCTGCCCATGAATAATTATAAGGAAATAAGGGCTCTTTGCCTTTTCTCTTGGGCAATATTGCAGTACTCTGGCAGTGACACACAGCTGTAAAGACTTTCATACTGCTTATTAGGCCAAAAGAACTGACTCGGCCTCTAGAAGCCTTGATGGATTTGTCTCTGGGTTGTTTCTTTCAAAACTCTGTTTCCGTATAAACTGATCAAAGGTCTTTTGATTCCAAATGCTTCTTCAACACATACTGTCATGGTTTCCTCCTGAAGCCCCTAGAAGCCCTGGAAACACAAGTTTAGGCTGTTCAAATTTAAATACTTAAAACTATAGCAGCAAAACAAAGCAAAATTAAAAGAAAACCAGGAGAGGAAACTTCTCTTGAATAGCAGAATCACTTTGTGTGAACAACAGAGGTGCTGAACAATAGCTTCTGCTTCTGTTTCTTTCTTTTCTTGCCTCCCTTTTCCTCTGTGAAGAATTAAAATGATACTGTCATTCTTCTCATGGAACAGGAACATAACACACAAATGACAAACAATCTTCCCTAGCCTAAACACCTTCTACAACACTCCCTATCCACCCACTGAACATCAGGTAGTTTAATTTCAACAAAGATTACTTCAGATAAACTAAGGGAGACTCCATCACACCTAAAACACACTGATCGTGAAGTTGCTGCTGCAACTGCAGATCCCAGGACTGCCAGTGTGCAGCAGTTTGCCTTTCCAACAAGTATTGCTTTCACCCATGTCCAAACAACACTACAACTGGAGCAGATACTCAACTCAACTCCAATGAAACTCCCAGGCCCTCCTGTCCAACTCTCTCCATGATCCAGTGCAGTCTCCAAACAGAAGCCAGAGCTAAACATCAGAACTGATCACTACAAGTGAGTTCTATCAGCCAGCACCAGGCTTGGATGTTGAAGTTCATCTTAATTTGTTTCATACTCCCTAACTTGAAATTTCAGCTAGCAGTTACCTCGTTATTTTGGTCAAACTGAAGAGGTAGTTCAGCAGCTCAGGTATTTTTCAAAGCTTCTTTGAGATAAAGTTTAATTTAAGTTCCAGCAGAGACATGGCACAGACGATTGTCAAAAGCCATCTCTGTCCTAACAGGATTCTTTGCTAGCTGGAGATCTCAGTTCCCACTGAGAGGCTGCTTCAAGCTGACAGAAGCCCTAGTCAAGCTGTTCAGAAACCACAACCTGACGATTTTCAGAACTGTTCTGTGGCCAATTTTTGGTCCCCAAAACTGCTGCTCTCACTTCTCCCAGAAGAAGAAGGGGAAATACTCTGGGTTTTTTCACTTCAGAAAGTTTTCATGCATTTTCCCATGCCTTTTACCTGACAAATGATCAGCTGTGGACGGTTTGTCCAGTTTCAGGAGGGCTGCCTCAATAGCTTGGCTGAAGGAATTCTGGAAGCTGGGCACAGGGATACGGTCAGAGCTGTCACTTTCTCCATCACTATCCACTGGCACAGGGAGTGCCAGAGAGTTCTC